ATAGAGCCATACCACCTTAAATCTAAGCACCCAATAATAATGGCCATTTAATCAACTGATAACATTGGTCTATCATTAAATTAAGAGTGCCATAACAACTGTAACAGGGACATTTTGGACAGTCTTTATATATGTTTACTGTTGCATCAAGCAGACAATCCATTATTATGAAACTACATTTTGTTATATAATGTTTTATTATTGTTCGATTTCCAGGTGAGGTGATTTTAGACCCTGCCACGGCCCAGAGGAACCTGGTTGTGTCCGAAGACGGCCGCCAGGTGAGATACGAAGAGCGTAAGACCTCCCACAGCGAGGGTCCCAAGCGCTTCAGCCCCGCCCTCTTCGTCCTGGGTCGAGAAGGCCTCACCTCCGGGCGCCACTACTGGGAGGTGGACATGGGGCACAAGACGGCCTGGACGCTCGGCATGGCTGGCACCTCGGCCCGACGCAAGGGGGAGATCAAGCTGAGTCCCGAGGGGGGGTTCTGGTGCCTGTGGCTGAAGAACGGGGAGGTGAAGGCTTTGGCTTCGTCCCGCCTCCCTCTGCTGCTGCCGTCCCAGCCCAGTAAGGTGGGAATCTTCCTGGATTACGAAGGGGGCCAGATTTGCTTCTACGACGTGAAGGCGCGTCTGCATCTCTACACGTTCGTAGATACCTTCAACGAGAGTCTGTACCCAATCTTCAGCCCCTGCCTCACCCAGGAGGGGAAGAACTCTGCGCCTCTCATGATAAGCTCTGTTAAACACACCTGAGATCAATTCAACAGGTTAAGTGCCCATACTTTTTATCTAATCTAATCAGATCATTTTGCCATTTATTTGGTCTTTGAACATCATTTGTCTTCTTCTTAACAAGCCAACCCTAAAACAGTTGTACTGTCATCTTAATAACAAAGCCTCAAAGCAAGACATTTTTCATGTCAAAACTACCCAGTACAACATGTTCTCATAGTATGTGCACGTTATTGCATTAGTTTAAGCTATATCAGGCTCAATACAGATATTTTAAGGGACAATGACTAACAGAGTGACTGTTTCAAAGTAATACAACCAAAGCATTGTGAATGTTTGGTGTGTTTGGATCCCGGGAAACCAAAATGTAAGAGATGTATTTACAATTTGGTTATTTAAAAGTTACAAATTGTTGCCTCATCCTGTATACCTTTATCTTAAAGTGGACCTATTATGCTATATTTGAAACATATATTGTAGGGCCATACCTATGCAAAACATGTCTGTGAAGTTTTTTGCTTAAAATACCAAACAGATCACCCGTTGTAGCCATGCCTCATACTGCTCATACCCCTCTATTCCAGCCCTGTTCCAAAAGGGCTGATTCTGCTTTAAATGGAACGGCTGCTGCTAGCTACGTCCCTTTGTAGCGTCACGCAGCTTTCCCCTGCTAAGAGTTTTCTACCGGGAGAAACTCAGCTAAACGCTGCAGTGATTAAATGCCATATTATGCTCCCAACCACTTGAAGCATTATTTCTGAAACAGTATGGAGCTCAAACGTTTCTCTCTCGCAGGGTTTACCGCAAGGACATCATGTTACACATATTCTCTCCAGTGGCCTACAGCGTTAGCGTTAGCATGCTTGCTAATTTAAACAGAAGATATTACTCCCAAAACACGCCGCGCATTGTTTCTGATACAGCACATAGCTTGACATGTTCTTTCTTAAGGGTTTACCGCTAGAACAGGGCCATTATATGTATTATATATAACAACTTTACTCTAAGTGCCTCCTGCAGACATCCTGCTGAATACACAGACACACAGCTGCGAGAGGGGATTCAGCTAGACGACCGTATACGGAGACGATAGGTTGGGACGTGTCATGTGTGCCGGAGACGATAGGTTGGGACATGTCACGTGTGCCGGACGTCGCCAATGACGTAATAGGAGCCAAAATCCTGGATCTGCTTGTTTGCAGATTTTTTTTGCACATACTGAAACTGTAGGACTCTGTATGACAATGGTTGTTTTTAAACATGTTCCGAAATTGAAACCGTTCTGTATTTTGATATCAAATGTCTGCTTTTGTACCCTTTTTCCTAACTTTCTAATAAAGATGATCAATCACAAATAATGCAGAATTTTCTTCCTTGATTCTGCACTCATAAACATAATATATTAAAATGCTAAACTAAGCTAAGCTAAGTAGCTGCTAACTAGCATTCAGCTATCACCTACAAGTGGTAAACAAAGTAGCAAAAAACCCATGAACTAAATTGAAAGCAGTTAAAGTAGTTAAATCCAAATAGTTGTATTGTCATCTTACATTACAAAAATCACATGATGCCTTAAAAAAACTACAAATATGGCCTGAAAAGATCAACCATAACTCCCCTGCAGAAGAGTTTGAAGCCATTCCTCCTGCTTAAGGGCCAGAGGGTATACATTTGTATCTGGGGTAAAAAGAGGGGAGGAGGGGGGATATATTTTGGGTCTTTTGGAGGGGGCAGTGGAGGTGGCAGTGGTTATAGCCTGTCTCATGTGTCAGTGTACAGCGGAGCTCTGAGTCAGCTGCTCTCTGGTGAGTGCTTCTGCTTTTTCTATCGTCTTCTTGTCCTCCACTGCATTTTCATTTCCTTACCATCACATCTCTGTGCACCAGTAGATCTATTTGGGGAGTGTTGTTTGTATAATTTGTATCACTGATTGGCAGTAAGTGTCTATGATCTGTGCTAAGGCCTTTTCTCTGTAGTTAAACAGAATAAACCCTTCTATCAAGTTTTGTTTTTCTGTTTCCATGTTTAGAGTACAGCAAAACAAGTCACTGGCTAGATTAATATGTTTGGAAAGTTGTTAATCCGGCCTGCTGTGAATAAGTGCACTAGGCCTCGTCTCGAGGAAAAGTCAAACTCACTTACGGCTTCATACACACTCAAAATAAATCAACAAGCGTGATATATTTAGCTGCAGCTTAAGTAAAGAGACACATGACTTGTTCAGAAAGCAGATATTATTTAAATATTAAAGGCAGGTATACGATTATCACAAATATATAGATATTTGTTGGTCAAAAATATGTTTGAGGTAACTTTAAAACAGTGTTGCCATAATGTTGTTCGTCCACCAGAGAATGCTGAAAAGTTTTTTTTCCAACTCTTATATATTCCGCTCAATATATTCTAAAAATGCTTTTGTAATGTGTTTAAATTAAATACCAATTAATTATCTTTGCAAAGCTGCTCTATTTTTATCTTGCAAGCCAATCAGAGCAGTTTCATTCAAAATGGAGCGTTTTAAACCGAGGCCTTAGAAAAGTATTTTTAATTAGACGGTATGAGAAAAATAAAGTATTTTTTTATCAATAAATATGTAGTAGAAACCTAAAATGCAAGTATGAACCTGAAAACGACAATGATATGTCTCCTTTAAAAACGAATAAAAGGAATAATATAAACAACACTCCCCAAATCTTGCAAGGGCTCATTTATTACAAACCGAGATATTTCCGATATCTGGCTTGAGTTTGAGATAGAGTCCTGTCATGCTTTGCTTTATAATTTTGCATGAAATGACCTCACTTAAAGTCATGCCATCTAACCCGAGCGCCCCTTAATATCACAGCAGGTTTGATGCCCGGTTCAGAGCCTGGTTGCTTGCGCTGAAAATGACCCTGCCAATCTGCTGTGCAGGAATGGCCTCCACCGGGAACCTTTCTGAAGAGCAGGTGCACTGCTCCATCTGTCTGGACGTCTTCACCAACCCCGTGTCCATCCCCTGCGGACACAACTTCTGCCAGGGCTGCATCCTGGGATACTGGAAAACCAGCCCTTTGTACCAGTGCCCTATGTGTAAGAAGTCTTTCTGCAAGAGGCCGGACATTAGCGTCAACACGGTGCTGAGGGAAATCGCAGAGCAGTTCAAGGAGATCAGGGTTAGAAGTGCGGAAGAAAAGGTGAGCGAGGAGGTGGAAGGCGTGAGGGAGAAGAAGTGGACGATGGAAAGAAAGAAAAAGGAGGATGAGGAGAGGCTTTTGGAGGAGGAGCAGAAGCAAGATGTTCGGGAGGAGGTGAGAAGTAAGGAAGAGAAAATGCTTCTCCCAGAGGATTTACCACCGCTTATCCCCCCTGTGCCAGCACCCAGAAGATCTCCTCCACCCTCACCAGATCAGGAACCACCTCCACTGCTCCAAATATCCCCCCCACCTTCACCTCAAATCCCTACTCCTTCACCTCCCTCCTCTTTACTCCCACTTCCTGCTTGGGAGGAGGTATTCTGTGATGTTTGCCTGGGCGACGGCAGACCAAAAGCCATCAAATCCTGCCTCGTGTGTCTCACCTCCTACTGCGAGGAGCACCTGAAGGCTCATTCGGCCCGGTTCACCAAGCACAAGCTGATGGAGCCCGTCGCCAACATGGAGGACCGGATGTGTCCGAAGCACGAGAGGCTCCTGGAGCTCTTTTGTAAGAAGGACCAGACCTGTGTGTGCGTCCTCTGCACCGAGACCGACCACCGGGCGCACTACACCGTCCCCGTGGAGAGGGAATGGATGGAGAAAAAGGTAAAAATCAATCCATGTTTTCTTATATCAGTTAGTAGAGGGGCTTTCAAGGTAGACACCTCATTGGTGGTGTTTGTTTGATTGAGAAAGCCAAAGAAAATGTGATCTTTCAACCGTCAAAACGAAAATGATTTCCTGATTAGACGATTGGGGATTGTTGTCATATACACTGGGAACCATCACTTGACTGTGCCCCTATTACTTGTAAAACATAAATTGTAACTAACCATATTATAACACTTTCAAAAAGGTTTATTTGTTTTTTCCCAATCTTGGAATTGATCTACTCTGACCTCTTACTGATCAACCACATTATATTACCTAAAAGTGTTTATGTTGAAGATCATTTAAACCACGTCCCCACGACAAAGTATTCATATCAGCACGGGCAATGCTCCATGCGTTTGCCCCCAAAACCGAAACTACAACAATAAAAGTAAAGACGGATATGTTTGTGGTGACATGTTTTTGCCTGTCATCGGCTTTGTTTGTGTGTGCAGGCGCAGCTGAAGATGACAGAAATAGACATCCAGCAGATGATCCAGGAGAGAGAGAAAAAGTTGCATGAGATCAAACTCTGCGTGGAAGAAAACAAAGTGAGTCCTGCTGAGCTCAAACACAGAATGGCCCATTAAACTCCAGTGTGATGCATTTAAACAAAGGTTATTATCCAACGTTGAGCAGAGTATTGTGTATTTTCCAGGCCAGCGCTCAGAGGGAGGTCGAGGAGAGCATGCAGGTCGTCTCAGAGCTGGTTCGCTCCATCCATAAGACTCAGGGCGAGCTGGTTTTGGGCATAGAGGAGAAGCAGAGGCAGACGGAGAGGTGGGCTGACGGCCTTGTCGCTGGACTGGAGCAGGAAATCGCTGAGCTGAAGAGGAGGAACACAGACCTGGAAATCGTGGCTCGGACAGACCACATTCACTTCTTAAAGGTGGAAGAGCATTGTTGTGTAAAGAGAAGTTGGCGACCACCTAAAGGTTTAAGATCTTTAAGATCCAAATCATCTAATGTTGGGATGTTTGGCATCTATGTTTCATGCTACATTTCAGAAATTGAACGAGAGCTACAGTTACCACGGTAGCTTTCGATTGCAAGGAGAAATAGTTTAGGAGTATATGCTGGTAAAATAAACCCTTTCCTTTACTTTTCTTACACCATTTGATTTGTGCTCAAACAACAGTGCCCTGTTCTAAAATGCAGTGCAACCCAAAGGCAAATCATAAAAAATGTACTGCAGGCTGCCTTAAAGAGTAGTCCAAAATAGAAATAAATTGGATTATTACTGAAGGTTTTGTAAATACATATGTGCAGGCTTGCAACATATTCTAATTTGAATAGAAATTCTGGATATATTTGTGTATTGACTAACCTAATTCTATTTCCTTTCTTATGCTTTATCTCTCCGTAGAGCTTCCCAGCCCTTAGCACTCCTCCTTCTGTCAAAGACTGGTCTGAGACCAGTGTTCCCACTGCCATGTGTGTCGGCATGATCAGGAGATCTTTGTCCAAACTGGAGGTAGCATTAAAGGAAATGATCCGCAAACTGGCGGAAAGTGGTACGATTTCCTTTAACATTGAAATACAGATTTTATCTGTTTTGTTTGAGAGTGAATTGAGAGCATCGCCAGGATAAGATGGACACTTTATCTTATCGTTTTCTTCTGTTTTTCCACAGAGATCAAGAAGATTCTGAAATATACAGGTATTTGTTTGGCACTCAGTGTGGTTTTCTTTTCATCATCTTGAAACTGTCAAACAAAATAAATCTTTCATTATGTCTCGTGTTTCTATAGTGGACGTAACCCTGGACCCTGAGTCCGCCAACCCCTGGTTGCAGCTTTCTCAGGACAGGCATCAGGTGAGACACCTGGGTGCATGGCAGGACCTCCCAGATCATCCTCAACGCTTCGACACCGTGGTCGTCGTCCTGGGCCGCGAGGGCTTCACCTCAGGAAGACATTACTGGGAGGTCCAGGTGGGGGACAAGGATGACTGGTACATGGGTGTGGCCAGGTCTTCGGTCAACAGGAAGGGCAAAATTGCTATAAGTACTTCCCAAGGCTACTGGGCTCTGGCCATGAAGAAAGGCCAGGGGTATCGTGTGTCAACATCCCCGCCGTTACCGCTTGCCATCGACCCCAAGCTCAAGCGAGTGGGCGTGTACGTGGACTACGAGGAGGGGCAAGTGTCCTTTTATGATGTGAAGGCTTTGACCCACATTTACACATTCAAAGATACGTTCACAGAGAAGATCTTGCCCTTCTTCTACCTGTACTGCTGCGACAAAGCCTCTGATACCATTGTGATATCTACTGTGATTGAGAAGAGCCCGATCAAGCAAAGCTAAGGACACGTTTGACAGTAAAAACAGCACTGAAAATATGTACGAGAGTGAAAACTGACTGTGTTATGTTGCAGCCGCCATACTTGCTCTGATCAAATCCTGTATATGTATTACATTTACAGTGTAGCCCTACAATATATTGATTCAACAACTTATGTATTATATCTGTTCATGTTATATGAAGCCTTAAAGGGATAGTTTGACATTTTGGGAAAAATACATCATAAAATACAACTCTCATCACTAAATCTGATTTTAATTTTCTCTCACTTGAAAACTGTTTTGCGTTATGCGTAGCGGGAAGGTGTACTCGCACATCTCATCCCTTAATGGTCGCCATATCGTCTACTTAGTAAAAGGGGAGAAACAAGTAATGATGGCAGTTGTTAAGCAACACATATTTGATTGTTTCTCTAGATACCCCATGTTATCAGGTTTAAGCCATCAGTATGATTATTTGGTTAATTAAGCAGTCTGTAATTATTTGGTACAGCAAACGATAACGCCAATGCTAGCTAGCTAGATTGAAATGTATACCAGCAAGTTAACAGTGTAGCCTACAACATGAAAGTAACCAAAATTGAGACACAGGATAGAGCAGTGAGTTCGCTTAGCATAAATGGGGGTTTTACAGTATGTTCAAAAATATTTCTTCTTTGTTTTGCACAACTAATATGATTTATAAGAAGTGAACTTGTACAGACGCAGGCTAGCTGTTTCCAGTACTTATGCTAAGCTTACAATATTTACCATTCAGACATAAAAGTAAAAAACAGTTTTGAAACAGTTGGTCTTTCATGTAACTCTCAGCAAGAACATGTAGTTTCTATAATTACCGCTTCTAACCGCATGACATTTCATAAAATCTAAAGAAAGTGTAGTTTCCAGATTTCCAGATTGCATGTTGATTTTTAATCAAGTGTGATTGATACGGCTAAGGTTGCTACGTGAGTTCATGATTTATAACAATAAATGTTCCTTGAAGAAATCTCAGTATTTGTCTTTCTTGAAAAAAACAGTTTTCATTTCAGTCAAATGTATTTTGACCACTTACAGTAACCAAAGCGCCTTCAGGGCTCTTCTCGTCATGAGTGATGATTATTGCATTGTTTGTGGTGCGATAAATGATAGCGTAGACCTATCATGTGTTTGTGAGAGGTAGTTCAGTCCTTTGGAAAATACTGAAGAACCATGGAAAATCTGGTGTGTCATTCTTTCAAATCATTTAGCTGTTTTTTCTTTTGGTTTTGATTTTGAAATACAGAAATGTAGTAATGTGATGCAGGAAACAAATCTGCAAGTTCATTCATGCGCAACGGACTCATTGTATTCTAAACAGCCATAAGTATTGACCTGATTCTCAAGATGTAACTTTTGGGCTCTTTTCCACCTACAAATGTTATGTTCTAGCATTTATTTGAATTTTAAGAAATTATTCACAAAGCATACATGACAAACTAAACACATATAGATATATGAATTAACTACATAACAGTTGACAAATCCGAAATGAGATAATAATAATAATAGCAATAATAATACAAATAAAAGAATGGAAACAATATTAACACTCAGGTATTCAGTATGTCAATTTGTATGTTCCTTATAAGTCTTCATTATAGTGTTCTACACTTTTCCCATCTTTCCTCAAAGTTATGCATTTGGTTTCTAATTCTCATAGTTGTTTTCTCCATTCCATATATTTCAATTACTAGGTTAATCCATTGTGAGTTTATTAAGTTATTATCTTTTAGCCATTTGTTTCATGATCGCTATTCTTATCACAAGAAATATATGTTTTAGCATATTGATCACATTTCCCCCTTCACAGAACCCATAATGTCATCAATGCCGGAGGATTATCCGATATTTCTGAACATCATCAAAGACCTGTCTCAGCTGCTGCTCATCACTTGGACAAGACTGATTCGTGGGCTAATAAAACCCCAATCGGACTCTTCAAATGTTGACAATAACTTCTAGTACTACTACTTCCACTACTAGTGAGAGAAAGGTTATAGCGAATAGTTAGTTCACGTGAAAAATGTGCACCAACAGAGCTTGGATGAATGTGTAATCAACTACAGTATACCATAACTGATTTCACAACAGCACAATGCATGACAAAAATTGTTTTCTTCCATTATGACGTCATTCTATAAAAATGTTTGACTATAGTGTGTCGTTGCATTATTACTAAGATTCTCTTGTTTTTTCGTTGCCCTTTTTTGGAGTTGCGGCTACATTTTTATGAGTAAACATCACCTGCTTTATCAGGTGTACCTGATTTTATGAGTGTTCAGGAAATGACAGAGTCCAACAGGACAGCCCTCCTTCCCAGCACTGATAGGTGTGTCTACCTACAGAGGAGGAACCAGCTGATAAGAGTGCAACACAACACTGTAAGAGCCTCAGGGGACACAAGCTGGTAACTGCTCAAGAAAGGTATGTGAGCTTTAAAATTGAATTTAAATGCTGTATCTATAAGTAGGCTAAAGTGTTGTGCTTTAAATGGAAGTGACAGTGTGTGATGATCAACTATCTATTACTTTACTACATTTACATTAAGAGTCAGTTTCACTTCTACACTGAAATGATAAATAAACAACCAGAAATATATTTTTACTGTAAATACTTTGACTGTATATGTAACAATACAATTGCTCTCTTGAACTAATCTTAATCTGTATATTTTGGAAATAACCACACGACTACATGACATAGTTTCCTCACAACTCTTCTGAATGGATGCCAGTGTATCATCCATACTCATGGCATGTCCATGTTAAAAGGGTATTTTATCCAACCAACAATACAAAAACAACACTAACGCATATATCATTTATTTATTTCCTCTTACAGTACGTATGTATTTCTATATAATGTGTCCTCCAACACTAGTGTGTTACTTCTGGCCTCGATAAGAGTGAAAATAACCTCTTTAAGCATCTACTGTACAACGTCAGGTAATCAACATTATCTGCTGTAGATAGATACTCTATTCCTCTCAAATTGGGAATTCATTTTGTTCCAGCAGCAGTGTTGTCAAGCATTACATGAGTTCAAACACTTTTGAACTTCAAAATGATTAGAGGAGCAGGTAACATTACCAAATAGAAAATAAATTCTACCAAAATGAATAGTAAATTGCAAAAGTGTTTATAAGAGAAACCTTCTCATGTATATGCTAACACACATTTGTTCACTGTACAGATACCGTAAATCAACAACCAATGGAATACACCATCATCTGTGTCTGCTGATACACCATCACACCATCTGCATGCTTACGAACACACACACGCAGAGTGTGATGTCCGAGCCTCCTCAGTGCTGCATCTGTCTGGATGAGTTCAGCAGGCCCGCCTCCCTCCCCTGTGGTCACTGCTTCTGCCTGGGCTGTATAGGGGAATACTGGAGGATCAGTAAGGCCTGTCAGTGTCCCCTCTGCAAGGCCTTTTTCCCCAGCAGGCCACAGCTCAAAACAGACCAAACACTGCATGCTGGTGCCCTGAATAAAGAGGGAGATTTGCCATTAAAAGCTGGAGAGGTTCTGTGTGATTTCTGCCCAGTGAAACACAGAGCAGTCAAGTCCTGCGTGAAGTGCCTGGCCTCGTACTGTGCCGCTCATCTGGAGCCGCACTACCGGAGTGAAGAGCTTGGGCGCCATCTTCTGATCAGTGTGGTGAAGAACCTGGAGGACTCTGTCTGCAGGCTGCATGGGAAGCAGTTGAACAGGTTCTGTAGGAGTGATCGAACATGCATCTGCTCCATGTGCGCCCACACAGAACACAGGGGCCATCACATCCTTTCTATCAACAAGGAAGCTACAAAGAAGAAGGTAGAGTCTTAAAAAAACGGCAGCTAAGCAAACATTTTTCCCGTAATGCCACCGGTGTTTGACCACTTCTATGACAGAAAGCTTTACTTTAAAAAATCTTGTCTTGATTGTGCAAAACAGTACCCTGGCACGACAATGAATTAAAACATAATTTCGTCACAAGTTCATACAAAACAATCTTTGAAAAGGATATTAACATCAATTACTCATTGAGTTCCAAATTAAATCCTTGACATGTTCTCACTGATAAACGCAGGTCTGTCTTGCATACCGTAACATAACGGTTTTGTTTTTTGACAGGTCAAACTAAAGTGGAGAAGGATGAAACTTCAGCAAGCGATTCAAGAGACACTGAGTAAAGTAGAGGAGGTTCAAGCGTTAGACCTCGGTGGAGGAAATCCAAAAGAGGCATGGGCACAAAATAAACAGCTAATCAAACAACTAGAGGAAGAAATCTCGGAGCTGCAGAGCAGAAACACGGAGATAGAGCAGCTCTCACAGATTGAAGACGACCTCCACTTCCTGCAGGTCTGCACCACTATGAAAAACCATCTCAATATTCTCTTTCATTAGCAATATTTATGATGTCAAACAATAGTCAACAACCACTGATTCTTTGTTGTTGTCTCTCTTCTTTACAGTCATTTCTACTCACTGCTTGGTCTTGGTGAATGGACGAACATGTGGACGATTCACCTTAAAGAGGACATGAACAAAGTTATTTTTTATTTATTTTCTATAATTTATTGATTATGTACAGCAGCATATATTGTGGGACCATGTGTTTGCTTAATAGGATTGTTTTCACTCTCTAGTTGAGGGTTAGATTAGAGGATCAATACCACCCCCACATTTGACCGTACAAAATAAGGCTAAAGTCTGTTAGCGTAGTTTAGCATAAAGACTATCAAACTGTACAAATAATCTACATATCATAATTTCGAATGCTCAATATTTCACATGCCCAGCCTGATGCTAGCTGCTTCCTAGCGGTTGCCAGTCTTCGTGCTACGCTAGGCTAATTTACTGCTAATTTACAAACACATGTGACAGTCGTATGGAGCTTCTCACTACCTTTCAATCAATAAAGTAAACTACAGGGCTAATGTCTGCTAGCTTAGCATAAACACTAGCAAAATGTAACAAAATCTACCTATTCTCTTCAGCTTAATATTGAACATGTTTATCATGTGTTGCTAATGCCCCCACCCTCATGCTAGCTGTTTTCCAGGGTTTACAGTCATTGTGCTAAGCTAGGCTAACTGGCTGATGGACATAATTAACAGACATGTGAGACAATGGTATTGATCTCCTTACCTAACGATCCACCAGAAAGCTAATAAGCATATTTCCCAAGATGTCAACATTTTGTTTAAACAGAGTCATTGAAATGTATTCCCTGTTGAAATGTTAAGCTCACTTTTCTTTAAAACAAGAATATTGAGCAAATAAAATATGAATAATTATTTCTACAGAGCAGGAAACCTCGAAACAACATCAAAACAAGAACTGAACTTGATCCAGGGTGTACACAATATCTTGTATTGTTTGAATGTAATTCATGTCTGGGTGAATGATGTGATTTCTGGATAATGCAGTGCAATCGTTCAGTGTTCAAATGTTTAATGTTTTTCCTTTTTTATATGCCTTTGGACAAATTAATAAAACACTATTTATGCTTTTCTTTTGTTACTCTTTTCCCTCAAAACATTGATTATGAACCTTATGGAATTGAATAACTTTCAGTCTACCAGTCAATCTTGAGCCTCAGAGACTAAAACCTTTTACTTTTTCAAAGGCAAGTCCAATATTTGATCTGTTATTTTCACTTGCCAAACAGGGAACTCATTCTTCAGCAGACAAACAGATGATTTGGTTGCTCATTTTCACACCCACATGCCCCTTTGAGAGAAGGAAGTAGCTGGAAGAACCTTTAAACGGAAACGAAACTTAGCAGTAGAGTACGGACGGCCAAGAGGAAGGACACACACACGCACACACACACACACACACACCAGGTGCGAGTGGAGAGAGAAAGACACAGACACCTACGAGTTACACAGCATTTCAATAGCTGAAAGGTAATATCACACTCTACTACATCAAATTACTTTCTATTAATGGTTAGTTTTAAAGGTAGTACCAGAACATGTTAGATTATCATGTTAAGGTTCTGTTAACCTTTTTACTGATACTACTATACAATGTCAAGCACTTGCAACATTTAATTCCAGTGTGTTCACATGCTGTGTTTTAGACAGGGTATTATCTTACTGCAATAGTTTGCTCCGTAAGTTCGGATGCTTTTTGCTTTTGTGATCTAACCCGCTCACACACCCACACACGTGAGGCTTTTATAGGGCGTCACCTGTAATACCTTTGAGGTACAATTAGAGTGTTTTTGTATGTGTTCTTGCTGTTCAGAAAATGAATGATGCTTGCAATAATTAGTTATGACAAAGATACAACAGCATGCAACAGGGTTAAACTGCAGTGGAATTATTGGAATTAATCAAAAGCTATAGTGGCTGTTCTAAAAATGTTTTGTAGATCTTTTGCTCAATAATAACACACAGTCCTGGGTGGAAAAGGAGTAATGAAATCCAAAACATCTCAGCAACTGGAAAATAAATGAATAAATAATGTCAATCTTTTCAGAACCATCCAACTATAATATTTCAAAATCTCAACGGATCAGTAGGAAACTATACATACCAATACTAGAAGTAAAGATTAAAAAGTAGGTAAATGGTAGAGTAATGATCGTATTGAGAATCATATGTGTGTTAAATCTCTTTGAGTTCATTCTGAGCTTTTATTTAAAAGACTTATAAATCAAGAACAAACATGTTAAACATAGAGCAAATAGCAGATGTTCCTTTTACATTCACTCTAGCACTAACATGTAAGGGTGTGGTTGCTGCAAGCTATATAGGCCTGATGTGGCTGGGAAATGAGATGCAAATACTATGAAGTTACTCTTTCACTCATCTCCACATATGCTATGTTTTTGCATTTATGATTATCCTGTCATCTGGCAACAATACCCAATGTTGGACAAAATGTACACACGTCTCTTTGCCTTAAGTTATTAAGTATTCAAGGTATGAGGACAAAGCAAAACTAAAATTCCAACAACAAAATAATGAAGTGGGATTTATTATACTTATAACATATTGATGTTGTCTTTAAGCAGATATGGCCTCCGCTGCAGCATCACCCACCCCCTCACTGGAGAAGCAATTGCAATGCTCCATCTGCCTAGATCTATTTGAGGATCCCGTCACTACAGCTTGTGGCCACTCTTTTTGTAAGAAATGTTTGCAACGTAACTTTAGTCTCAGTGTTCAAGCGTGCCCACTATGCAAGCAGCATCTGATGAAAACCCCAGAGTCGAACATCGTCCTGAGAAGCATTGTCGAGCAGGTGAAAAAGATCCCGAAGGAAGACGTTGAGAAGTACACCGGGGCGCCCGGCGAAGTGGCCTGTGACATTTGCACAGAACGAAAGCTCAAGGCTACAAAGTCCTGCCTTGTGTGCCTTGCGTCATATTGTTTGACCCACCTTGAGAATCATTCTTCAACTGAAAGGTTGAAGTGCCACAAGTTGGTGCATCCTGTCGAGAACCTGGATGAGAGGGCCTGTCTGAAGCATGGACGGCCCTTGGAGCTATACAGCAGAAAGAGGGAGAAATGCATTTGTGTACGCTGTTTGGAAGAAGATCAGGGGGAGGTTGTGTCTACTGAACACGAATGGGAACAGAAGAAGGTGAATTCAAAGTCTTGACAGTGCTATATTTTAGCTTGAATCCATGTTGTGCAAATCAATATGCAAACACACTTTAAGAAGGTACACAAAGGCAGGGTTTGCTGAGGTATTGACTTGCTTTTCTGTGTTTACAGGTCAAGCTTGACAACACAAAGGCAGACTTGCAAGAGAAGATTAAGAAGAGAAAAACACGAGTGGATGAGATTAATACATCTCTAAAGAGCTGCAAGGTAAGCTGCAAGAGAGACAAATGTTAGCTTCCTTGGGTTAACTTGGATTGAAAACCAATCAGACCAGTCTTCAAAACTGGCTGAGCAAGTTCTCAAAGAGTATGACAATTAAGCGGAAACATAGTGTGGTATTTAAAGTTTCCCTTGCAAATAAAAATGCTGGTACTTGGGCCAGTTGCTATAAATATTGACCTTTATCTACAGCTTACCCATCTAGGCTATTGGTTCAGCTCTAAAACACCCAACCTGTGCCAGAATTGCTCTCTCCAGATTTAGTTAAACTGTGACTAGCGTTGAAGCAATCCAAATAAATTCTAACCCTAACCCTGAATCATTTCAGGACCAAATGGACAAAGAGTGGTGGGATATTGAGGGTGTGTTCAGCGCTTTGATTGCCAATGTGGAGGAAGCCCAAGCTGCGGCTCTTAAGCCACTAAACGACAGAAGGGAGGTTGTGGAGAAAGATGCAAAATACATCAAAGAGAATTTGGAAAAAGAGATTAGAGAACTTGAGAAAACGGTCTCTCAGCTGGACGATATATCTGCGCTTGAAGATCACATCCTTTTCCTTCAGGTGAGAGGAATGGACCTTGTTTGTGTAATACAGTGGGGTCATTTGTTTACATGTCGAGCAACAACCAGTCCAGCTACTGTGGCTTGTATGATTTGATCTTATTCTCTGTATGTCTGTTGGTAAATCCCAACACTCTTCCTCTTTCTTTGTCTCAGAGGTACCCATCACTTCAAGAGTTGGACTTGAAAGACTCAACGAAGGTAGAGTTTGACACATCAGTGTCTTTTGGCACCATGAGAAAGACCACAACAGCCATGTTGGAACAATTTCAACAGCAACTGGACAAGCTGACCTCCATTGGTAAAAGTTAAAATCATGATAATGAATGTTAAGATCTAAAATGTTGACAAAATTGATTCAGTCCTCACGAGGAGAAAAACTCTGGTCCTTTGATCATTTCTGCTGTGAAACATTGCGAGAAGGATGTCAATGAAGTGAAGAAAGTGCAAGACTAGCAGTTAAAATGTTGTCTTTTTCTGGGAGTTTGGTAAATCCTTCCCCATCGAAGCTTGATGACTTTGCAATAATTAATCAATAGCAGAGTTGTGAGGAATCTGTAGAATCAGAATTTATAAAATGTTTTGTGAACTTGTAGGTGGAACTATAAATGATGAGTCGGCAACACGGTGTGCTGAAAACAAGCCTTTGGGAATAATAATGCAATATTAGGGGATGCTAGTTCAGCTACATTTCCCATTAGCATTAGGGTGGCGTAGTAGGTGGCGGTGTCATTGAAAAGACCACAAAATACTGAGTGTCTTTATGTATTATATTCATGTTTTTCATACTTTATCATATACAACCTTCAACAAAGCTGTAGCTTAATACCAGTAGCTTGGCTTTATGAGCTACTGAATGGGGACATTTTCATATACAGCCATGATACAGGCTAAATGCATTCAAAGGTTTAACACTGTTTTATGAACAAATTGGTAAAATTGATAGTATAAGATTTATTCAACTTAATTACAAACAATGATATCTTTTTTTGTATTTACTTTCTTTGATTGGGTGGAGAGGGGATTATTTTACTGGGCAGGAAATATCAAGTCTGTGTCTTCATACAATGTACCCTCAATATTTACAACATATACTGTAATAACATATTTTTGAATTATTACATAAATAAAAAATAAACTATTGATAACAAATCAAGTTTCTCTTTTCATTTTGTGTGAGATTTCCTGTTTCACAAAAAAGGCACTATTTTTGTGAAACAGGAACTCTCATGAATCATTTTTCAAATTAGCCTTTTATTTGTTGTACTTTAAAGGTGGGGTAGGTCATTTTGGAGAAACCAGCTCGAGTGCGCTAGAATTTGAAAATATACAAATACACAATCAGATGTATTAATTGTGTGTTAGCTCTTTGCTACGCCAAAAGGCCACTTATTTTATTAGATGCACAGGAAATGAAAAAGAGATGAGTTTCTTCTTCTTTTTTTAAGGTGTTGTTCAACATGATATCGTGTGCAGGTGGGGGGATTTTAGGGAATGCATATTTGTTGTTGTCAGAAACGAAATTGAAACAGTTCAGAATGAACAAATAGGAGGAGAGACCGAGAGACAGATCACTCAGAGGATCGCGAGGAGAGAGAGACAAGGTAAGATGCAGCTTGACAGCCAATCTGAAGTAAAAGTACTCATAATGCAGATTTCATTTCAGAATAATATATATGATATGTTTTGATTATAATTATTGATGCATTTAAGTGTTATGAAAGCTGGTAAAGGTGCAGCTAGTTTGAATGACTTTGTATACTGCAGGGTTGTGAATTTACTCCAGGTGTAACTAAAGTCTGATTTAAGTGTATATTATATTTCAGATCATTAATCCAAATCTGTAAAGAAGCTAAAGGTATTACAAATGTTTAGTGAAGTTAAAGTACACTATTGACCTCTAAATTGTAGGGGAATAGAAGTACAATTTAAAAACTTGAGTGCAACCTCAAAATCTTACTTAAGTAGCCTACAGTACTTAAGTAAATTATTCGTTACTTCCACCACTGATCTTTTTGCCTAGGGCGCCATATCTGGGGCAGCGCTGCGCTTGCAGCTCTGGGAGGGAAAAACCCTTTGTGACTGTCGCCGCTCTGCCCGCTCATCCTAATTTTCGGCCTTGATGTAACAATATTCACAATTAAGTAAATCTAACACCCTTTTCACCCCGGTTACACTTTTCATTTGCCCTAGACGATGGGCGCTGTAAGTGATGAAAGTGGGGTGTGTTGGCCCCCACTTTCATCACTTACAGCCAACACTGTGGCTTATCAGGCGTCCGCGGCCAACACCCCCCACTTTCATCACTTACAGCGCCCATCGCCTGATAAGCCAACACTGCTGGCTTATCAGGCGTCCGCAGCTCACAGCCAAAGTGGGCGTGGGAGCGAGCGAGCGAGAGAGATAAATGCAATTTATGAAAACAAATATTTCCAATGCACACCTTTATAATTATTGGAATAAACAGGTTTTAAATAATTTCAATGTATACGACAGTAAACCAAAAATATCGTTTAAAACTGGAGAGATAAAAGAATATGCATAAATAAACATTAACTATAGGTAAAATAAGATGAACAATACAAATAAAATAAGTTACATTTATTTGTTATTGGCTATGTTAGGTTGTTGGTTATGTTCACATACTTATTTGGTTATTAAAATGTAAACAGATCTTTTTTCATATGGGTGTTTAGAGTTGTACCCCCTGGATCTAATCAATAGTAATTGTGTGCTCAAAGTGCACCAGATTGAAGCATTTTACTTTAAAATGTTCAAACATTTCTTTCCGGGGGGGCATACCCCTGGACCCCCCTAGAAGATGCGACGTCCACACCCCAATTAAAACATGTTTATACAATACTGAATACATTTGAAGCCTTGTTTATGTATATTATCTATGTCAATACGTTTTTTGTAGTGTATTTGTCTTTTGTAGAGATTTTTCATTTATTAATTATATATTCTGTTGTGTATTCCTTGGATACTTTTATCTTTTCTACTGGCAGGGGGGGTTGGTCTCCAGCTAAACTCTTGCCTGTCTAGGGCAGCAAATTGGTTAGAACCGGCCCTGCTCTCTCGTCTGTGTGCAGGGGGCTGCTCGCTCACAGACACGCTGCATTTCTCTCTCTCTATATCTCTCTCTCTCTCAATTCAATCGCTTGAGTAGCATGACCATAGTTACAGGGGTTAAATTGTCTAAGCCCTGGCACAGAGGACGATGCTCTGACGTCATCATCACCCTCGCACATTTCTCATATGTTTGTCATAAACGATATATATGTTAAAACTTTTCTCGTTCTTATTAATATAGACTATATTTAGGCTCAATATGTGTTGACTTTACTTTAAAATAGCAGAGCTCTGAGACCGGATATCGGTTTTTTTCGGCTTAGTGAACGTGTGCCAATTTAACCCCTGCATACAGTATTGCCAAAGCTCTGTTGCAACATCTATACACAAATACATACACAAACAAACTGCTAAGAATTTGAACAGCAAGAACATGTTTTTATTTGTGTTTTTTACAAGGAATACAGATTCATTTAAATTAATATATAATACATTGCTCTCTCCAGCGCCGTGCACACAGAGATCTACATGTATTCCGTTACAACCCAACCCTGCCCACGCTACAATAAACACAGTGGGGAGTGTGTGGAAAATATAATCGTTTAATAGACTGCAAAAATATGTAAATAAAGTTTCCTATGATTAATGTTTTTAATTTCCCAGTTTGTTCAAACCTATCTTACACACATAGTAGCATTTTTTAAGATACAAAATTGTTACAATGTATATAAGAAATAATGATTGAATACATACATGAGAAATGATGACTAATAAAATATTTTGTTCTCATTATATAATTTTTTATTTATTTACTTATTCACTGATTGATCTAACCCTATTTTAAGTTGTATACTGTTTTAAAATAATGCTTTTTCTACATACTAATAGATAATTATCCCTGACATGCTGTATCTACGCTATTTTAGATTACTTTTAGGTAAGTATTTGTCAATGTAACACGAAGTACTGTAGAGTACCTCTAGAGGGCGACTAATCACTGTCTAATCTCAGTCATCTTTAACCACATCAATAATGACTTTTGGGGACTCATCTGGTGACAATTAAGATCTTAAAATTGGGTTTTAATTTCTTCTTCAAATGTCCCCATAACAATTAAGTTTTAAGAAATCTTTATTTACATTCAATCTAAGGAAAACGGTGATTTGCCTCAAATGCAATTAAGTTTTAATAGATACAAAGCAGAGACCTCCTGTGAACTCTGAACATCTTGGGTGGCATGTGTTGCTTCTATGTGGAGCACGTCCTTTCCTAATGTCTGTGTGTGACCTCTACAGATGTCCAGCATGCAGGTTTGCCACTGCGGATGGTCCAACGTCACCACCTACCATGGTCTGAGGATTCACCAGGGGAAGATGGGATGCACACAGAGGGGAATGAGTATCCCTGAGAGGGAACAAATCAGATTACCAAATTACATTACATCTTCCGACATTGGATCCAATAGCTGGATTACTCCAGTCCGGAAGGAGGTACATTCTAACAAATGTATAGATTATGAGTTCCTATTAGGGGTGTAACGGTATCCGTATTCGTCCCGTACCGTCACGGTTCGGCACACGCAGTCACACGACGAATACGCCTTTTTTTTTTTAGAGTGGGAACAAAATCTGTCATTCAGGGCAGTATCCACTACACTATATATAATCCAGGGGGCGGTATTGCGCCTAAAAGCTGTTTGCCAGCCGCCCTTAAACAACAAATGAAGAACAAGAAGAAACACAACAACAAAACGAACAAAATACAAGAAGAACAGTTAGTATGGCGATGTCAGATAACACACAGGAGCTAGAACCCACCTGCTTCTTTTAAATCAGCTGTGTGGGAACATTTCGGGTTCCCTGTGGACTACAATAACGATGGAGTGCGAGTGGTGGATCGGACGAGGACGGTGTGTCACCGTTGTTAGATAGCGGTGCGGTATGCTAATGTGAACACACGCCAAGCATGCTAAATCATATCAGAAGGCATCACCCAGATTTGCCAATCACCGGAGCCCGGCAAAAGACAACAGCAGTTCAACAGCTGATGCCCGCTGTTTTTAAGAAGCCAACAGACATGAAACCCGTGAGACCAAAATAAATAACGGAAGCTTTTGGCATATGTTTTTCAACGACTTTGCGCTCTTGAAACACTTTCTTATTATTTATGATGTCATATTTTCAAGACATTCTTTTTAGCTTTACAGCTTAATGAAACCTTTTTGTTTGACATCAGCCATTATAGATAATATGGCCATCTGAGTGTACTGTGTATGGTTTGTTTTTAACTGTTTAATACAGTTAATTATTCAAAATGTCAGTTCTTTATTTTTAAACTGAAACTTGCACTACTGTTCAAACATAAATAACAACAAACCTGGAATTATGCATTTGGGACTTTTTTTTGCTTTTTCTTGTTGTACCGAACCGTACCGAACCGTGACCTCCAAACCGAGGTACGAACCGAACCGTGACTTCTGTGAACCGTTACACCCCTAGTTCTTATACATAAAAACAAATAAACTTAGTCTTTTAGTTAAAATAATGACAAACATGATGTCTTGATTCAAACCACAATTAAGAATGACTGTATTGTGGACCGTGAGAATAATTATCATGTCGCCTTAGCTTTACATCGTTCCAGAAGATGTTGAGAAGCAATTGTTGCTTCGATAAATGTGGAGTAAGTGCTTTGTTTATGTGTGTGACCTCTAAAGATAACCAACACATCAGACAAGAGCATGCAGATGTGCGACTGCGGATGGTCCAAAGTCACCACCTACCATGGTCTGAGGATTCACCAGGGGATGATGGGATGCACACCGAGGGGAATGGAAATCCCTGAGAGGGAACAAATCAGATTTCCAAATGACATTACATCTTCCGACATTGGATCCAATAGCTGGATTACTCCAGTCTGGAAGGAGGTACATTCTAACAAATGTATAGATTATGAGTTCCTATACATAAAAACAAATACACTTAGTCTTTTAGTTAAAATAATGACAAACATGATGTCTTGATTCAAACCACAATTAAGAATGACTGTATTGTGGACTGTGAGAATAATTATCATGTTGCCTTAGCTTTACATCATTCCAGAAGATGTTGAGAAGCAATTGTTGCTTCGATAAATGTGGAGTAAGTGCTTTGTTTATGTGTGTGACCTCTAAAGATAACCAACACATCAGACAAGAGCATGCAGATGTGCGACTGCGGATGGTCCAACGTCACCACCTACCATGGTCTGAGGACTCACCAGGGGATGATGGGATGCGCACAGAGGGGAATGAGTATCCCTGAGAGGGAACAAATCAGATTTCCAAATTACATTACATCTTCCAACATTGGATCCAATAGCTGGATTACTCTAGTCCAGAAGGAGGTACATTCTAACAAATGTATAGATTATGAGTTCCTATACATAAAAACAAATAAACTTAGTCTTTTAGTTAAAATAATGACAAACATGATGTCTTGGTTCAAACCACAATTAAGAATGACTGTATTGTGGACCGTGAGAATAATTATCATGTTGCCTTAGCTTTACATCGTTCCAGAAGATGTTGAGAAGCAATTGTTGCTTCGATAAATGTGGAGTAAGTGCTTTGTTTATGTGTGTGACCTCTAAAGATAACCAACACATCAGACAAGAGCATGCAGATGTGCTACTGCGGATGGTCCAACGTCACCACCTACCAGGGTCTGAGGACTCACCAGGGGATGATGGGATGCACACCGAGGGGAATGGAAACCCCTGAGAGTGAACAATTTAGATTTACAGGTTACAAGTATACAAATGCTGACAGTGGACCTTCAATCAAAATAGACAACACTTTGACTCCCCCCTACCACAGCAAAACTCATCAAAACACCAACAACGTTCGTAGAGCGCTCGATTTCTCCACCGGTGCACAGCAGCTACAACAGGTCTCATGTTATTTGAATGTCCCGCTGGAGAGTAAATCCTACCTGATTGATGGAGTTTAGAGAATTCCTTGTTGTAACGATGCATCGCTTTTAAATGTACCTTCTTTAATAGATCCATTGCAGCCTGAAATGTATACTATATTTGGGTCTAGCTTGCACTAAGTGCCTTCCTCCTTTAGGTGGAGCAGTACTGGGAACTTCCAACAACTTCCAACAACCACAGCTCAAGGCCCACTGCCTTCCAATTAAAGGAGATGGAGAAGGAGATGGAGGCTCAAAAATCACAAGAGGCACTTCACTTTAAATTATACAATGTTTAATTAGATAAAACTAGCAGTATGAAATGTTTGCCTATTGTTAGGTCTGTTGGTTCACCACTATGGTCTGGTCTTAAATATTTCAACAACTCTCAAATGAAGCTCCATGAAATGTGGTACTGATATCCACGGTGCCCACAGGAAGCATCCTACAGCCTTTGGTAGAACTTTGACTTTTGACGTAATGCTATCCATATCTGTATAAGAAGTGAAAGTAGTCAGTGTTGGAGCCATGTATTCATATGAAAGCTGCTCAGTAGCTCAATTGTTTCAAACTCATAGGCTTCCAACCTTTGTTGTCACCCCCTACTGGCCATTTCAAAGAATACCTGTTTAAAGAATTTAGCATAGTCCTCACTTTTCGTACCATGATATCAAGGATTACTCGTCCAGTTTTTCAACATCTTCAAGATACATTGCCAAATTGCTATTGAAGACATTTCTGGTCACTAGATGTTATATCCTTGGGCCATGGGTGTTTCCCAGTTCCCATCTTCTAGTGCCACCAGCAGGTGCATATTTGTTGTGTTAAGGTATTGTCCCATGAGCTTCGGATGGGTTTAAATGGAAGTTATGCTCCCCTCAGCTTTTATTGGCCTTTACTGTATTGGCAATCTAATAAAAGTACTTTGTGACTTTACTCCAGATGAGGCAAGACATGATAAGGGCTGATTTACAGCAGAAAATGCAGACAAGAGAACAGAAGATTTCTGAAGTCACATCATCTGTAAAAGCCTGCATGGTGAGCCGAAGCAGATTATTTACATTTTCTCCTTTGATTAAGGTTTTTTTCAACATCCTCATCATCCGTTACTCTTTTCAGGGCGGCTTGGATGCCGAATGTCTGGAGATCAACAGCGTTTTCTCAGAGGTGATGAAAGTGGTGGAGGACTCTTGGCAGGAGGCCCTTCAACCTCTGGAGGAGAGGTGGGTGGCTCAGTAAATATCGCAGTGATTTATGACATTAACTGCACCAATGTTAAGGTCATCAATAAATGACACTGCCTATTGTTACTGTATGTTATTTTAGGAGACAGAGAGTGAGTAGAGAAGGAAAAGATCAGGTCAAGAAGCTGCAGAAGGAAATTGACAAAATCTTTCAGACCATTGATGAGTGGGAAGAAAATGGCGACTGGCAGGTAAGACATCCAAACCGTTGGCATTTTTCTATCATTAAACAAGTCATTTGGCCTCTATAATGCTAGATGTCAGTATGCACGGACAATATCCAGATCCAGGGGACACTAAAAGGTTTATACTGAGAATGTGACATTTATCCCACAGGGTCTTCCTAAAACAGGCCTGGATGATTCTCGAGATTGGAAACATTTAACTGTTGACACTTCATTCTCCTTTGGGTCACTGAGAGCTACAACATCGAGCATGATGGAAAAAATTCACCAGGAACTTGAAAAACTCTCTTCTGTTGGTATGTTCTTGACGTTAAAACGTGAAAACTCAAGCACCATTGCGTTCTTTGAGTTTCGTAAAATAATAAAACAAGACTCGTAGGGAATCAATCTGAATGAAGATGTTTTTCTTATTCTACAGGCGTTACATTTAAAGCAAAAACCTATTCCTTGCCTATTGCATATCACGTAATGTTTTTAAATCTAACACTATTTCTCTTTCTACAGAACCCAAGATGAGTCGCACGCCCACACTACGCCATTACAACAAACAACACGTGAATCTGACCAATCTCCTTCCAATCCCCCGGTCCACACAACCCCCCCCAATGCAACGTCACCTCAGAGCAGCCCTGCTCAACACACGCTCCATCAACAATAAAAGCAACATTCTAAATAAATTCATTAAAGACAATAACCTGGACTTTCTGTATCTGACCGAAACGTGGCAAAAACCCCAGGATTTTTTTCTTTTAAATGAAATCACCCCAGCAGGATTCACATACATTGACAAACCTCGCCCACTAAGGGGTGGTGGTATAGCTGCTATTATCAGAAAGGAAATAAAAACTATCAGAATCCCCATCCCTGATGTTTCTTCATTTGAACACCTGATCTTTAAACTCTCTGGTCCCACTCCCCTGGTCACAGCCATCATCTACCGTACCCCGAAGTCAAACCCCTCCTTTCTCTCCGACCTCTCTGTCATTCTCACTCAGCTTTCTGCCATATCCCCATCTGTTCTCCTCTTAGGTGATTTTAACATTCATGTTGACGACCCGACCTGCAAATATGCCTCTGAATTTAAGAAAACCCTTCACCTCTTCCACTTCTCTCAACACATCAACTTCCCAACGCACTGCGGTGGTCACACCCTGGACTTGGTCTGCTCCACTGGTCTCACCATCCATCATCTGTCCAGCCTCAATCTCCACATCTCTGATCACCTGGCCATCATCATGGACATCAACATCCCCATCCCAGAGCATGCACTGTTCTGAGTGAAACAGTCTCTCCTTTATAGGAGGACATCAAAGCTTAGTTACATTACAAACAACATTTGGTTAGGCCAGCTGAGACCCCCTGGCACTGTATGCAAAACTCACACCATTTTACGGCCATCAAGCACTGGAATACTCTTCCAGTTGAACTTAAAACCTGTACTGATTTTAACTCGTTTTCCTATGGTGCAAAAAAAATGATATTAAGCCATGCCAACATTAATTACACTGTAATCTGAGTTTTTTTTATTTTAACTGTATTGTCATCAGTGTTGGGTGTAACGCGTTACTTTGTAACGTTACGTCAATTTGCCGCAACGTTACTTTTCCCAGGGAGAGTGACAGTGACACTGCCTACTCAGCTGCGTGCTTACGCATTAGGCACGAGCTCTCATTCCACAATGTACATGATAGAGGCTGGCCGCTGGTGGTGGCATGAAGACTGAAGAGCAGTGATGGCAAGCGAGAAGCAGGCGCAGCCAACGCTAACATTCGAGGGATGGAGGTATTCCCATTACTTAAAACTTGTTGAAACTAAGGGGAAAATGTGAGTGTACGTTGTGCCCTGGCCAGAAACTTTTGTCCACTGCCGTTAACTTAACTGCCAACCTCACCAAGCATTTGAAAGGAAAACATGCTGTCACATGGCAATGTATTTTAATTATTCATTATTGCATGGTTTTAGTGTGTGTTTTATACCTTTTTTATTGTGTGATTTTACTCTGAAATGTGTTTGCCTTTTTAAAATGAGACCAAAAAATGATGATGTGGAACCAGATGTCACATGGCAATGTATTTTAATTATTGCATGGTTTTAAGTGTGTGTGTTTTATACTTTTTTTATTGATTTTACTCTGAAATGTGTTTGCCTTTTTAACTGGTTTTAACTTCCTGCTGCATGCTTTTATTTTGAAATGTTTGGACCACACCTGGAGCCAATTTACACGCCTATAAAGGTAAGGAGAAGAGCAGCAGAGGACAGACGGAAACTGAAAGAGGCTGAAGGCCACAGCAGAGGCAGAGCGCACCAGGAGCAGAGACGGAAACTGAGAGAGGCTGAAGGGCACAGCAGAGGCAGAGCGCACCAGGAGCAGAGACTGAGACAGCAGAGGCAGAGCGCACCAGGAGCAGAGACGGAAACTGAGAGAGGCTGAAGGGCACAGCAGAGGCAGAGCGCACCAGGAGCAGAGACTGAGACAGCAGAGGCAGAGCGCACCAGGAGCAGAGACGGAAACTGAGAGAGGCTGAAGGGCACAGCAGAGGCAGAGCGCACCAGGAGCAGAGACGGAAACTGGGACTGAGACTGAAGGAGACAGCAGAAGCAGAACGCACCAGGAGCAGAGGCACACGCAACAAAGGGATTAAAAGACACGGCAGTCCGAGAGAGTGTCGACGGAGCACCTTTACAGCCCTGGAAAGACTGGTTTTGAGAAAATACTTTTAACCCTTTTAACATTTGAATTATTTGTATTGTTTTAACTACGTTTAATTGTATTTTAACATAGTTTTAGACTATCTTTTTACTGAGATTATATTTTAGACAGCTCTGATTTTAGTTTTCTTAGTGAAGATTATTATCATCTGATATTTAAGAAGTGTGTTACATTTGAAATGGCAGAAAGTCTTGTTGCAAATTCCAGATAGATATTAAAAGAGGTCCTTTGGGTTTCTCTGGTGGTTATCAATAGTAGCAGTTAAGTGAATACTGTTCAAACAATACCTGTGTTTTGTATTGATTTCTCTGTTTTATCCTTTCATAAATGTAAGGACTAAAAATGGCTATAAGCATTCTGGGCTGGTTGGAGTAAACAGGGTTTTATTGCTCTGTGGGGGAGGTGTAGGTATGCAGGACAGGGGGGCTAGGCGGATGAGAATATTCTGCTTAAGATCTCTAGCATGTCATGTTTCAGGGAAGTCTACATGTCTTGAATAGTATATGTGTGGGTTTAATTAATAAGCAGTCTGTGTAACCAGAAGTTGGAGATATGAGGGATGAAATCTTTGTGAGAAATGTATGTGCGTTAATTTCAGGACTCCTAAAGGAGCAGGAGAATTGAGTCACACAGTTAGAGAAACAATGGTCCTTCTCATTCTGGGTGAGCTGATTATGGGTGAATGGAAGTTCAGAGATGGCCTGGGGCTATGGAGACAGTTAGGCGTTGTTGGTGAGCTGGTCCTGAGGATGCCATGAGATGATGACTGTTATATTTCCAACAAGTATGGCTTTCATAAAAAGACACATGACTTAGGTGATAAGATATGTTTTGTTGCAAAGTGAGCCTGTTTGGTTTTCTGCTGACCAGCTGACCTAACCCCTCCTTCTTATTATTGTATATCTCTTGTCGATTCCTGGCGTTCGCTCTCTCTTCCCATGCTGTCAGGACCGGAAGGATCTCCGCAGCACGCGAACCAGGGCAGGAGTGGGCCGGCATACTCCTTACACATTACAATATAATTGTAGTATATTATATTGTATTATATTGCATTATTACCTTTGATAATTAAAACAGATTATTGTTTCAACTGGTATCCGGGTGTTCTCTGTCTGATTTCCTTCCTGTTATGATTTTAAGCAGGACTCGTCAAAACGACACGCGGAGCAGAGTGGGGTTGTAAAAACCTCAAAACTCCTACATTAGTAAAGATTTTATGTTCTACTGAATACATTATTGTGTTTTAAACTTAGTAGTTGGCTCCTTGATTACCCAGTTTTGCTCTCCACCTGATTTAAAAGAACTCTTTCCCTCTCCTTAAATGATTACCCCTCCCCCTCCTTTACACTAGCATGACGCTAGTAGCTCAAGATCCCCGGGGAAATTATGATATTTCGAGTCCAAGCCTATTTAGTAGCCTATTGATATGATGTGCACTAGCTTTGGGGCTAGCCTGTTTAATGATTATGATTTTATATTGTTTGATATTATTGTTTAGTGGTGGTGTTGACGCTTGTTTTGTTAAGTGCTCTGTGGCATTTTTTTATAATAAAGAGCACAAAAGACATATCTGTTATGTCCTCCATAGCAGAACTTTATGTAAGCCTACACATTTAGGAACAGAGATGGGGTTCTGCCCAAAGTCGAGCAACGTAAAAGTAACGAGTAACGTAAAAAGTGACTTTCCTTGGTGGGTAACTAAGTAAAGTAAGGGATTACTTTTTTAAAGAAGTAACGAGTAACGAGCAAACACTACTTTTTAAAAGTCCCCAACACTGATTGTCATACTATATCTTAGATATTGTATTTAAGTGTATTTGAAGTGTACTAAGTATTATGTTCGTAACCTGAATTAAAATCAGGCTTTGTAATTATTTGAGTGACCGAGATCATGTAAGTGTATTTCAAGTGTACTATTAATTTATTGAGCTGTATTAAATCAGGTTTTAAAATTGTTTGACTGATAGAGATCATGCAATGTTATTATTTGTTTATTGATTGTTATGAACCTGTCTGAGGACCACAGATGGAAATGAGCTATTAGCTATAATCTGGCATATTGCATCTCTTCTCTTTGCTGAGATTAATGTTTTTGTATGCATGGTCCTTCTATAAATAAATACAAATACAAAAAATAAAAAACACCCTACACAGAGCAAAAGGGATACAGATAACACCTTATCCTAACTTCCTTCCCCTCATCCTTCCTGTAGTGTCTGAGTGATCTGTTGATCACTCACACACATTCAAAGGTCACTCCAGGGATTTGACCTAATCAGTCAAACCGTTGACATGACATTTTCAGAATACAGCAGTTTACATTTCATTAGGTTTACACTGTATTAAAGAGCCTGTGACACGAGTTTCCCCCATCATCCAAACCCATCAATTTGAGTAAATATTGTCCCCTTGAAAACCGTTACTGAACTGATTTTGGATATTTGTACTTTGATAACCATTAATCTGCCCTTCAATGTTGACCATCTTCTCGGGGATTCTTCAAGTCCTGCCAAATGATGTGTGACGTCATTGCGGGCACAGCGCTCCAGCTGCACCGTTCAGGATCCCAGCATCTGCATGTAAACGCACGATGGCGCACACAGCAGCAAGCGATGACAGCGATGACAGTTTAATTTTGAACGTATCTGAGAGGATCGGTTTATGTTGTATCTGTTAGAAGTTTAGGAATTAGGTGTGTCAATATGGGCGATAATACGGTCATGTAGCCAGTGGTGGAATGGGACTAAAAATCATCCCGGGACTCTCGACCGGCCCACTTTGGTACCACTAGTAAATTGTCAACGGGGGAGTGGGGGATGTCAGGGGCGGCGGGTGCTGTAGGTAGGGAAGGCTAAGCCTTCCCAAATATTTGTGTCACTGCATCCTGGTAAAATACAAATATAATGTATAATGTCTGTGTCTTTGACATTAGCGCTGCTAGCCACCTGTGCTCTACGAAGCCAGTTCAACATACCCTGGATCAGAGTCCTGCATCGGGTACCCGACGGGTGACCCGCAAAAAAGGTGATTCGCGGGTGGTATTTTTTCAAATGCTGTTTTCCGTGTTCGGTTCTGGGTAAAACAAAGAAGATGCGGGTCGGGTCGCGGGTATTGCATAATAAATGTATTAAAATAATAATAATTTAGTTTAATGTTTAAATCCTCAGACCTCTCCCCCGCGGGACCGCGCATAATTATAACCTCTGCAGCCATCAATCTGCTGCTGTGCGCGCCACATTCGAAATGGCTGAGGTGGAGCTCCCTAGCGGAGAATACAGCATTTTCAATAACACTTCCTCAAGAGCGAAATACAACGTCTGGGAGGCTTGTGGTGTCATCCTAGATGGAAAAAATAACCAACATCCCACGCTTTTTGAGACAAATATGCAACTGCGTGTGTTAATAATTGCACGTTTTCACTGCTCATATATAGGCTATGCGGGTTCCGGTCGGGTTGCGGATCTTGTGCCGACGGGTCGAGTCGGGTTGCGGAACTAATTGGCAATATGTGCGGGTAGCGGGGCGGGTTCGGTATTGCACGTCGCGGGAGCGGGTCTTGAAAATCAGAACCGTGCAGGACTCTGCCCTGGATATGTTTGAGTAACAAACAAACTAACAACAACAAACTAACAAACGAGATCTCGCTAAGCGGTCCTACGACGCTGGTTATCAACTCGGTAAATCAAGCCAGGGTTTCTCTCACCAGCTGAGAGCGCGTTCACGTGAAAGGGGCGGGGTTAGCTACATTTGACCAATCACAAACAGGGACAAGTGTACTGACAGCGCAGCGTCATACTTCATTAATGAAAAGTAAACTAATATTAGACAAATATGAACTTTAAACATCCATGATGACTTAAACATATAATCCAGGATACAAGCCACAGAGTTGCACCTGCAAGGTGAATACAGAACAACTGGTCAAAAAATAACTAGGCCTACCGAGTGTTTGAAAGCGTATAGTTTTATGATATCACTGCCCCATCTAAGACACGAGTGGAACTGAGTAGTAGTACACATGCCGCTTTCGTCTCATTAGTATGCATGAAAAGTGACAGGTTGACACGCCCCCAATTATGCAAATGAGCTAAGTCCCGCCTCCCATTGTTCGAGATCCTTTGATGTGATGGGTGATGTGTCATCACACGTAGGTGTGAAATGCCCCCCTGTGTAGCACCTTTGTTCGACATCCTTTGATGTGTGTTATAACAGGTAGGCGTGAAAAGCCCCCTGGCTAGCACTTTTGTTGTCTAATTCTTTGATGTGTTGATTAAGTCTCTTTGAAGTTGTGTTGTATGGCCCCTGCCCCCTCACACCCCTTTGTAGTCTAATTATTTGATGTGTTGA